TGATGATAGTTTCTTTTGCTGTACAGAAGCTCTTTAGTTTAATTAGATCCCATTTGTCAATTTTGGCTTTTCTTACCATAACTTTTGGTGTTTTAATCATGAAGTCTTTTCCCTTGCCTATGTTCTGAATGGTATTGCCTAGGTTTTCTTCTAAGGTTTTTATGGCTTTAGGTCTTACGTTTAAGTCTAATCCATCTTGAGTTAATTTTTGTATAAGGCATAAAGAAGAGGTCCAGTTTCAGTTTTTGGCATGTGGGTAGTCAGTTTTCCCAACACCGTTTATTAAATAGGGAATCCTTTCCCCATTGCTTGTTTTTGCCAGATTTGTCAAAGATCAGATGGTTGTAGATGTGTGGTGTTATTTCTGAGGCCTCTGTTCTATTCCATTCGTCTATATGTCTGTTTTGGTACTAGTACTATGCTGTTTTGGTTACTGTATCTTTGTAGTATAGTTTGAGGTCAGGTAGCATGATGCCTCCAGCTTTGTTCTTTTTGCTTCAGGTTGTCTTGGCTATACAGGCGCCTTTGTGGCTCCATATGAAATTTAAAGTAGTTTTTTCTAATTCTGTAAAGAAAGTCAGTGGTAGCTTGATAGGGATAGCATGGAATCTTTAAATTACTTTGGGCAGTATGGCCATTTTCACGATATTGATTCTTCCTATCCATGAGCATAGAGTGTTTTTCCATTTGTTTGTGTCCTCTCTTATTTCCTTGAGCAGTGGTGTGTGGTTCTCCTTGAAGAGGTCCTTCACATCCCTTTTAGGTTGTATTCCTAGGTATTTTATTCTCTTCGTACCAATTGTGAATGGGAGTTCACTCATGATTTGGCTCTCTATTATTGGTGTATAGGAATGCTTGTGATTTTTGCACATTGATTTTGTATCCTGAGACTTTGCTGAAGTTGTTTATCAGCTTAAGGAGATTTGGGACTGAGATGATAGGGTTTTCTAAACATACAATCATGTTATCTCCTAACAGAGACAATTGGATGAGGAAGTCCCTTTCTATTGGATTTTGTGAGATGCTTTTTCTACATCAATTGATATGATCATATGGTTTTTCTCCTTTTAGCCTATTGATATGGTGGATCACATTGATTTCCATATATTGAACCAGCTTTTTATACCTGATTGTGGCATATAGTTCTCTTAATACATTGATGTGCTAATACTTTGCTGAAGATTATTTTTCCATCTGTGTTCATCAGAGATATCAGTCTACTATTTTGTGTTCTTATAACGTCTTTATCTGGCTTTGGTATTAGGGCAACTCGAGCCTCATGGAATGAGTTAGGAAGTGTTCCTCTTAACCTGTTTTCTGGAACAGCTTGTGGAGAGTTGGTATTAATTCCTCCAGAAATGTTTCATATAATTCTTTGGGCTTGATGCTGTCTTTGTTAGATTATTAATTATTGATTCAATTTCTTTAGTAGAAATTCCTTCAATTTCTTTTTTGTAGGCCTATTCAGATGAGATGATATATTTCTCCTTGTATATATTTTGGAAGTTTGTGTCTTTAAAGAAATTTCATCTAAGTTATCAAATACATGGGCAGAGCAGTTTTTCTTAGTATTCCTTTATTATCCTTTTATTTTTATTTTATTTTTATTATGTTTTATTATACTTTAAGTCCTAGGGTACATGTGCACAACGTGCAGGTTTTTTACGTATGTATACATGTCCCATGTTGGTTTGCTGCACCCATTAACTCGTCATTTACATTAGGTAATTCTCCTTATGTTATCCCTCCCCCTTCCCCCCACCCCACGACAGGCCCCGGTGTGTGATGTTCCCTGCCCTGTGTCCAAGTGTTCTCATTGTTCAATTCCCACCTATGAGTGAGAACATGCGGTGTTTGATTTTTCTGTCCTTGCAATAGTTTGCTCAGAATGATGGTTTCCAGCTTCATCCATGTCACTACAAAGGACATGAACTCATACTTTTTTACGGCTGCATAGTATTCCATGGTGTATATGTGCCATATTTTCTTAATCCAGTCTATCATTGATGGACATTTGGGTTGGTTCCAAGTCTTTTCTTTTGTGAATAGTGCCACAGTAAACATACGTGTGCATGTGTCTTTATGGTAGTATGATTTATAACATCAATAGTGATGCCCCCTCTTTCATTTCTGATATTGGTAATTTGTGTCTTCCTTCTCTCTCTCTCTCTCTCTTTCTCTCTCTGGATGGAGGTATTTGGGAAATGTTTTCAAAATACACATTTGAGCCTCTTCTGTACCTGCTTCCAATGGAGGTTTGGAGGTGTTGGCTTGGCCTTGCTTTCTTTAGAACACCCCAGAGCTCCTGATGTATCCTGTGTGAGGCTGGAGACTGGGAACCGTTATACATCTGGATCGTTCTGTTTTTAGTTTTCAAACTTTTTCAGCAGGGCGCTTTCAGGCCATTTGTGAATGTTAATATGTGAAAGAGAAAAATGCAAAACCGTTGCAATTGATTTGCGAGAGGAGGAGAGAGACCTAAGGACACTGCCTGCTTGGTACTCACCCCTCTCATCTCAAGGCAGCCCCCAAGGAAGTACTGGGGGGTCCCAGAGCCCCATCTCTGATTCTCATATTAATTAAGATCATGCCCGTGATGTGTTTGAGGATGGTGCTTGGCACATAATACAGGTTGGATAAAGGTTAGCTGCTGGTCTTGCCCTTATTGATAATTTCCTATCATTCATGGGCATCCACCAGTGGAGAGGACTGCCTCTCATGGTGGTCAGTGGATTCCCTGTGGCCAAGGAATCTGAGCAGAAGCTGATGTATGAGAGAATAGAATAGAGGACTGCACAGGGCCTTCACAAAGAGCCCTCTAGGTCCTCTTCTGAATTTGGAGATGCAGGAATTCAGCCTGTCTCTTCATCTTCCCTCTTCCTAGAACAGAGGGTGGCACAGGGGAGGAGGTGGTGTGTCCCAGCCACATCCAAGCCTTTCCATTGGAAATCCCAACGTCCTCTGATCACGTCCTTCTAGGATTGTGGCCCGTTTCGGTTTCTTACATTGTTTATCTGGTTTTGGAAGGCTCTGCTCTGACCAACGGGGGATTGAACCTGCATAGTCCAGTGAAGAGGAAGCTGGAAGCGGAGAAGGACTACGTCTTTGACAAGAGGCTCAGGTACAGTGTCCGCCAGAATGAAAGCAACTGTCGGTTTCGAGACATCGTCGTGCGGAAGGAAGAAGGGTTCACGCACATCCTGCTGTCCAGTCAGACCTCGGATAACAATGCCCTGACACCTGAGGTAAGGGGTGGCAGCCAGAGGGACGGGCAGGCTGGGCTGTGGCTCCTTCTCACTCAGCATGGCACATTGGCTTTCTGCTTCCTTCCACCAGGATGCTGAGGACGGTAACCAGCATGCATAAAAATTTGACTGCAAGGCACAATTTGCTGATCATTTTCCATACATTATCCCATTTGATTTTTATGACCATGTAATAATACCATCTCATCTTAATAGATGAAGACCATGGGGAGAGGGACTCACTGAACTGATGGTGGACATAGACTTAGCCAAAGGGCAGACTCAGAACCCAAATGTCACATCTTGGGCTTTTGCAGCTAAACTTTGTTGTCATCAGCATGTCATATTTGTTTGCTGCAGGCATAATTCACTCAGTTCATGTATCTCACTCAGTTTATAATACATATAATATATGTTACTACATATTATATATGTAGTTGAGACAGATCGATTTCACATACCGTAAATTTCACCCTTTTAAAATGTACGATTCAGTGATTTTTCGTATTTTCACAAGGTTGTGCCAGCGTCACCACTATTGAATTCCACAACGTCTTCATCACCCCAAGGAGAAACCTTGCCCACGTGGAATAGTAATTTCCGTCCATTCTCCTTTCCCCACACCCTGGAAACCACTCATCTACTTTCTGTCTCTATAGATTTGCCTTTTCCGGACAGTTTGTATCAATGGAAACGTGCAGTATGTAGCCTTTTGTGTCTGGCTTCTTTCACTTAGCATGTTTTCATGTTTCATCCGTGTTGTAGTGTGTATCCACACTTCATTCCTTTCTATGGCTAAATAATATTCCATTGTGTGAATAGACTGTATTTTATCTATCAACTTTTCTATTTGTGGGACAGTTGTGTTGTTTCTACTTTTGACTTTTATGGATGATATTTCCACAAATGTTATATACAGGTTTTTATGTGAACCTATATTTATGTATTTTCAGGTTTCTTGGATATATTTCTAATTTCTAATAGAATTTTCTTGGATCTTTTCCAGCTGTTAGAATTGCTGGGTCATATTGCTTACTGTATTTTTCGAGGACCTGCAAAAATTGTTTTCCACAGTGGCTCCCCCATTTTACAGTCTGACCAGTAGTATGTGAGGGTTCTGGTTTCTCTGTATCCTCGCTAACACTTGTTATGTCTGTCTTTTTTATTATAGCAATGCTAGTGCGTGTGAGGTGGTGTCTCATTGTGGCTTTGGTTTGCATTTCACTGATGGCTAGTCATGTTGAGCATCTTTTCATGGGTGCATTGGCCATTTATCTCTCTTTCTCCTTTTTCTTCACATCCTTTGGCTATTTTTAAAATTAGGTCACTTTTCTTTCTGTTGTTGACTTTTAAGCATTCTTCATATACTCTAGATAGTAAGCCCTTATCAGATATATGAGTTGAAAATATATTCTACCATTCTGAGAGTTGATTTTTTACTCTTTTGATAGTGCCCTATGAGAAACAAATTTTTAAGTTTTGATGAAGTCTATTTTACTGCTTTTTTACATTACTTTTTAAATATTAATCATGCTTATGTCTTAGGTGAATAAAATAGGGAACCAATGAATACTTAATGCAGCGAGGTTGACAACATCATTCAAAATACAGGGTACATGGCAGGAGAAGGGAAGAGATTCTTGACGGCACAAAGGTGGGAAGATGCTCCACTGAAGCAGCCTTTTCCTACAAGGTGCCTGGGGTAGGGCAGTACAGTGGTAAATGGCGATAACAGTGACGACGGCCAGTGAGCAGGGGCTCTTTGTTCCTTGTATTTGCTGTTTATCTTGTGTCATCTCATCACCTCCCTTCTGATGTAGGATTGTTATGATCCACATTGTACAGAGGAGAAAATTTAGGCTTAAACAACCCAACTGAGCTAGGGTCTCACAGCTTAACCAAGTAGGTGCCAGGAGGGCAGGGGTTCTGTTCTTGCCCACCCTTTTGTCTCTTCGTTCATCCCAGTGCCAGGCCCACTGAAGACATTTAACTCCGAGACCCCTTTTCTGTCCTTGAAATATCCCGGACTCTGTTTTTCATAATAGCAATGGGAGGTTAATGAGAAGGGTATGTTTTGGGGGATGCAGTCAGGGGATGACCACTCACTCACATTGGGATACTAGAATGGCCTGGCGTTGCCCAGTGTACCCCGTACCTTCAGGGAGGCACAGGAAGTGGGATGGGTGAGAGGGAGGTGCTGTGATCTTCAACTTCTGATTGTGTTATTATTATGGTTGAAATAGACCCTGGTTCTTTTACAAGGCTGTGTGTGTGGCCATCTGGAATGATTGACACATGGTGAGGGAAGCACTGTGGCTAAAGCCTTGGGGTTGTGGGGTGGTAGTCGTGTGCTGCCTCTTCTCTGAGCTGGTGTTTTGGGGGCTTCTCCTTCCTCCACCTGTAACAGAAGCATCCCTGGGGTTCTCTGCTGTGTAGACCTCTGTGTAGAATTCAAAGAAGCCCAGAGCGTGCAGTCCACCCCGAAAACAGCTCTTCATATGTTTATGCACCTGGAAACCTCCTTATTTTAAGCTCATCATGACATCTGCACAGACCAGTTTTTCCCAGATTCTTTCTACTTCACTACTTTCTAAAAGCATGTTGGGAAAAGGCACAGCGTTTTCTTTCAACAAACTGAACACATGTGAAGTCTCCAGCTCCTTCCCTCTGTGGAGCAGCCCTGGGTGGTGGTAACTGTTGCTCACTCATCGTGGAAAACATGTTGTGCTCGACTGATTTGAGGTGCACAGGTTCTCACCTCCTGAGCTGCGGGCTTGGTTAATTGAGGTTCCTTTCCTAATCAGCGTCGGTCAGTTACAGAACAGGAGGAAAACAGTCCAAGTTAATGATCTGGTGTTTTCAGCTGTCTCAGCAGTGGAAGGGGATTGAGTATGTGGGTGAGCCAGCTGACTGCGTAAAGCAGCCCCTAATGAAGGTCCTACTGAAATGAAGAGGCTGCGTGAGAGGAGGAATACAGGTTTTAGTCTAGCAGACCTGGGTTCCAATCCTGCCTTCAACTTACCATGCTGTTGCCTCGAGAATTTACTTTGCTGCTCTGAGCTTCCTCCTTTATAGAAATTTTACAGTATTTTGCTGGCGAGATTAGAGATAATGTATGCACAGGGGCCCACAAAGTACCTGGCATACAGGAGGTATCTAATAAATGCTCCTATCACTGATAACATGAAGCAGAGGCCATTTAAAGTCCAGCAGCAGACCTTGCCTTGCTTGTGAATGGAGGAACCAGAAGGCGACCACTTTCGTAGTTATAATTAAACTACTTTTTCTAGTTGTATAGGTGACATTGGTTGGATTGGCCTCAAGGCCAGAAATTCATACATTACTGTGTGCAATAAATAGATTCTGAAGCCAGTGGATTTATTGTCATATTTCTCCTGTCTGGGATACAGCAGAGAACCAGGAGATGAACAGAAATGCCCCTTAAGGAGAGAGTCAGTGAAACAGGTTACACAAAGTTCTCCTTGATTGAAAGCTTATCCACTTCCCCACTGGGAGAAGACTCCAGGTCTTCCTTCAGTGCCCTCGGCCTCAGCCCACAATCCTACCACCACTCCCAGGAACACGGCAGACAGGCAGGAGCCCCTTCACACCACTCCTGTCATGGCCCCATGTCCAAACCTGTCTCCAGGCCGGTTCACCTTTATTCTCGAATAGCTCTTTCATATGTTTACTTCTATTTCCACCGTGACCATTACAGTCCACTACTAGGCTATTTTGTCTGGACACTGTAATTAGCCTTCTCATAAGTCTGCCTGCTTTCACGCTTCCTGCCATGTAATACATTCTGCATAAGGCAGGCAGAATGATCTTCCAGAAATGCAGCTGTGGCCAAGTCAACCCTTTATACGCACACCCCTCCCCAACCAAATGTGTCGATGGCTCCTGATGACCCTGGCTGACAGTCAGCACCCTCAGTGTGGTGCAGTCCCACCTCATTGTGCAGCCTGCCTCACATACTTCTTCTCCTGTACCCCAGTCATCTGGCTTGCTTTCATGCCCACACCTGCCCCAGGGCCTTTATATGTGTCCCTCTGACTGGAACAGGCCTTTCTTCCTCCTTGCTTCCCTCACTCTTGCTGTTCCTTCAGATCTCAGCTCGGCCATCACTTCGGCAAGTCTTATCACAGTTGTTAGTCTACATATATTTGTGGGGTAACTTGTTAAATGTCTGATATCCTCCCCCTCCTCCATTAGACTGTAAACTTCTTGGGAGGTAAAGACTGGCATTCTCTTAATTCAATAAACATTTGTTAAATTCTTTTATGTGAAAGGGTCTGGACTAGGTGCTACAAGGGATATAAAGAGTGTAAGTATACTATTTTAGCTCTTAAAGGATTGTATTAGTTATCTATAACTGTGTAGCCGATTGTTCTCAACTTAGCATTTTAAAACAGCATACACTTGTTGTCTCATAATTGCTGTGGGTCAGGAATCTGGGCATGGCTCAGCCGGATGCTTCCAGCTCAAGATCTCTTACAAGGCTGCTGTCAAGTGGAGGCTGGGGCTGCAGTCTCACACGAAGGCTCGACTGGAGGAGAATTCACTTCCAAGCTCACCCATGTGGTTGTTGGGTACATCTGTTCCCTGCCATGTGGGCCTCTTGTGAGGGCTACTCATGACAAAGCAGCTTGCTTCCCTCAGAGCAAGAACTCCCAGAAAGATAGCAAGAGAGGATGGTCCTTTTGTCACCTAATCTCCTCCTGAAGGTGACATGCCATCATTTTGGCATCTTCTGTTGAAGCCAGTCACTAGGTCCAATCTTCTCTTGAGGGTGGGGATTACAGAAGGGTGTGAATACCAGGGGTTTAAATCACATAGAAGGCAAGATACAGTAAAGAAGTGCACATTCTACAAGGGAGTTTGTCAGAAGAATCACAACAGGGATTTAAAGTATTCAGGGTTTTGGGAGAAAGGAGAGTGCGCATCTAGTCTTGGGTATGGGGAAATCTCCTTTGAAGGTGGTTGCATTTAAGATGGGC